GGGTAGGGAAGAATACTTCCAACAGTTGACCCAGGGTGCAGAACCAGCAGGTCACTTTCATTCCCACATAAATTCGAGTTTAAAAAGGAGAGAGAGGAGCCTAATCCAGTCTAGAGAACGTTCCAAAAATTCAGACTAGTACAGTCAGGAGGGTTTGTCTTAAGGTGGGTTAAAACCTGCATATGTTCCCCCCAAACAAAAAACGATAAAATCAGCCCTTAATCAAGCCATAAAGAGTGTCTGATCCAAAAGCTAGGACAGAACACGACAGAATACTCTAATGAAATTCACTGTGACCCCATCAGCAGCTTCCTCAGAAAGAATCCTCATTACAACTGACCCATTAAAGACTATCAGTCCTTTTTCTCCAAAATAGTCCTATGTTTAGAGCTGCAAAGGAGGTTAGAATAATTTAGAACAAAATTCTCAAGTTACCAATGAGGAAATAGGTCCAGAGAACTTAAGTGACTTGCTCAAGGTCACTCAGCTAGTGAAGGGCACAGGCTGTTACAAGGCAAGCTCTCCGGCTCCAAGGAGCTGCTTTTTCCATTGCATCAGTCAAGATAGCACAAAGCCATTTTCCAGAAATGTTGATAAAACACCAAGAAAAAAGCAGGGGTGGGAGGGGGGCATGCACTTTTAATTCCAAGTCCCTCATTGTGTGGCAATACTGGAGACAGTATTTATTTGAGGGCAATCAGATAAGTGACTACAATATCTGGAACTTTTTATGGATTTATTTTTTCTAACATAAAGCCACCTAAACAATGGCAGAAGTTAAGAAGATTGCTAGATGTTCAAAGTTTTCTGGAACAACAGAGAAACTCTTTTCCACGGCTCAGAAGCCGAACCAGGGCACAGCATTTATAGCAGGGGAGTCTTTCTTCCTTACATTTCTATTTAGGATGTTTTTATCTGCACCTAAGGAAAAATGCTGCCTCTGGTTATGATTCAGAGATGTTGGCTAAGGAGAGGGATGGGGTGAGAGGAAGAAGAAAATTCTTTCACAGTATTTCTCTCATTTTCCTTCTTTAGTTTAGAAAGGACACATCTCAACAACGTGTCCCCTTCTGGTGCATGTCTCTAGATTCCCAAGATTTGCCACCTCTATGGGACATTCTCGTTTCACTGTGGGACCGCTTGGCCTGGAGGGTCAGCTTTGTCCATGTTTTGCAAACTGCAGGCGCTCAGTAGAGTGCTGACCCCAATGCAATTTCAAGCCAAATGAGTTTTCTTCCAGAGATCTCTAACCCTTCTCGTCTTTTCCCCTCCTCCCTCCCATGAGCTTGGGATGTGAATGCGAGAATCTTGGGCCAACCCACTCAATCCCACAACCACGTGCTGAAGCTGCCCCTGCTCCCAGATTTTAAGACTGGAAGATGAAGAAACACGGCGTCTTAGTAAACCCGAGCATCCAGAGGGAAACAAAATGGGGCACGTCACATGGTCAGGGTCCGGATTTTTCTCAATTAAAAATGAGAGGAAGTGTGTGTCTCCGGCCTCCGTCAAGTGGGCTGCTTGGACTTTCTCATTCTTAGGATTCCAGGCTGAACTCACGCGGAAGGCTGAGTGCTGAGCATCCCCTGGGAGGGGGCAGGAGGGGCGCAGGTTTGGCTCAGTTCTGCCAGCTCTAGGGGGAAGGAGCGAAGGGGCAGGGGTGGGAAAAGGCCGCCCTGGGCACCAGGCCGGTGGCCACTGCGGGACCCCAGCCATCCCTGGCCCCGCCCCGCCCCCGCCTCTCAGGCTGATCCTCACGCTGATTGGCTCTGGAGGGTGCTCATCAGCTCCTGTCTGCCCCGCCCTGAAGACCAGGGAGTGCTCCGCTTGGCCCAAGGGCAGGGCTCGCCCACCGCGACTGCTGGGGAAGGGGTGCGGGCCACCTGGGGTGCCCCCGGGCCACCGGGGCTGGGCAGGGGGGCAGACTTCAGAGGGCGGCCTCGCCCTCACAGTTGAATCCTCTACCCCTGGCAAAAGGGGGCGAGGAGAGAGAAGAAGCCAAGTGGCAAATAAATAGGGAGGAATGCAGGAAGCGGGGGTGACCCGGGAAAGGGAAAGTGCCAGCGCCAGAGGCTTAGAGCCAGACAGAGGGCCACACAGGGAGGGGAACGGAGGCAGGGTGAGGGGGGAGTCGTGGAGGGCGGAGGCACAGAAACCTTCACCCCAAACAAAAGGAGCCTGGAGAGGATGGCTTGGGTCTGCGTCTTGGCCAAAGCCTGCTCTTTCTGCCCAGATGCAGTTTCAAAACGAAAACCCAAATTTGATGTCAACACTGATTAAAGGTGGCTGGGCTGCTGCGGCCTTCTCGCCCTCCCTGGGCTCTCAGTTCCCTCTCTGCAGCCTAGGCCACAAGAACCTCGAAATTCTGGAATGGAGAGGGAAAACGGGGAGGGGGGCGCCAGGAGCAGGACAGAAGAGGTGGGAAACAAAGGGAATGGGAGACAGGGACACTGGGGAACAATCCACCAGGTCGGAACCAAGTTAGGGAGACACAGGCCTACCTGGGACCAGAAACAGAAAAGGTGGCTGGACAGGAGGTGAATGAAGCACAGGGCACCTGAGGAAAGACACAAGTGTTCCCCTTTAACAGGCAGCAAAAAACAGAGGAGCGGAGATGTTAAATGATCGGAGAAGTGAGCACATCGCTCACCCTCAGAGCACCTCCCTCCCTTTCCTGCTTCAGGTTTCACCTGAGAAATGGGACAGGCAAAGACTCATTGCTCAGGAAGTTTGAAAGACGATGTTTGCACCAAGTAACATATTTCTAGGAAAACTTGTTTGCCAAGGACAGGTTTGACTTTTTGTTTCAGTAGATAAATGACTCTCAAATCACATCTTTAAGCTCAACAGGGCAAAGGCAAGCAAGCAGAATTCGGGGTGTACCTGTGCCAAGTAGCATTTGGTGTCTCATTTTAAAACACACACACACACACACACACCCTAGTCTCTTTCCATTTACATCTTACAAATAAACTCTGTAGAACTGTCTGGCATGGTGCTGTTAAAGCATGGTCTCCAGCTACTCCAAGATTATTAGGGGAATGATTATATGATTATTTTAGAATATTACACTTTCCCTAAGAAAGCTAAGAATAGAAACTTATTTTGCTTTGGTTGGTTTGTTTTTAACGTATCTTCCACATAAGAAGGATTTTCAGCCCTTTTTAAAAATGAGAACTCAATCTGGTCATCAATTTCCTTCAAAGCAAATATTTATTCTACTCTATAAAAAGAAAACTGTTCAAATTAAGAAAACAGGTGAGAAAAACTTACTTGTTTCTTAGCCTCTTCTTTCACCTTCTTTATAATCAAAATTTAAGTTTTGCTGGGGATTTTCCCTTCAAAGTCTCATTACTTTATAAATAAAAGACTTTACACCACAAATGATTAAATTGTTAGAAGGATTCACATTCGCCAAAACATCTTCAAAGATTTTCACAGTGGACCTTGATAAAAACAATACAATCTCTTCTGGAGAATTATGAAAATAAATGCTGACTATTGATCTAACAACTGCTTTTTATAACATATCCTATCACCTAAAATCTTTGTTTGTTCGTATGCCTACATCTTGTTCTACAAAACAGAAAATGACATGGCTCTCAAATATTGGAAACTGTTAGAATCAAGGAGGCTGCACCGCATAATAAAGAAATACTTATCAATAGGAACCCAATGCACAAATTACTTTCTATGAATGGACACATAGGAAGAAGAATAATGCTTCTAAAAGCTCATTCTGTGAAGCATATATAAAACAACTACCACAAGATAAACTGTCAGAATAAAGTGTTTCCAAATGCTGGAAACTTTTGCATTTGCCAGCTCATCACATTATTTGCAAACTCTACTCCTCTCTTCTCCCCACAATTATGACCACCAGAAAACAGACTCAACAGAATGGAGGGCAAGCTAATTTCCTATTACAAATGCTTTTCATTTTCAATGCAGCCTTAACCACAGAAGACCTAAAGCCAACTTGCAACACTTAATGAGGCATCTTACTCTTGAACTTAAAGGCAAACAATAAATATCTTCAAAATGAAGAGTACCAGGTAAACCCCTCCATTTCCCAGACTTAATACTCCTTCATTCGACATAAAAATGTTAAGTAATTTTACAGAAGATGTGCAGGAGTGCCAAATGATCTGTGTGATGTCTCTGTGCAGGCCTTTGGAAAAACAACTGTGAACCAGACACACTGGGTTGAATTTCCATAACTCTTAACTAATAATGGGTCCCAGACACATACAGACTTCACTGCATACCCCATACAAAAGCAGCCATGCCTGTGAGGTGGTGGGTCAGCATGCAAATATTTCACAAATCCTGGTTCAGAAACAAAAAGAAAGCATCATCCATAATTACTTTCTCAAGAGTCATAGTCAGAGAGGTATTTCTTTCTAAATATGTAAGTCTAAACATTCTTACTCCTGAATAATTGTAGGGGAGTGTGAATAAAAGTCAATGTTTCCTTCTGCTATTTATGTTGCCTTGGTATTATGTAAATACAAAACTAAAGTACACAGAGCTACTTATCAAGATCAACCTAAGAGCTCTGAGAAATGACTTTAAATGAAGGTTTAAGCCCTGTTCTAACAAATATTTTTGTAGAAGAATTGTCCCTTCCAGGGAGTGAAACATAAATCAAAGGTAAACCACAATAAAGAGATCAAGATTCTTATATGGGAACTTCACAAACCTCAGAATTGGTATTACAGAATATATGTGTTGAAAATACTACAGTTGGGAACCTCAGATGAAACAGCCCTCCTGTGTGGCTGCTCCTACAGGTTTATAGGATTATCAGCCAGGTGTCAATGCAGGGTGAGCATCTTATGTGCCCTGACACCCCCCTACCCCACCCCCAACCCCACCTCCGGGGAGTACACTCCCTAAGAAAGAAGCAGGAAAGAGACGGAAGGGGCAGAAGCAAAGAGAAAGAGAATTCAAGCCCAAGGTTAAAAGCAATTTTGTCTTCTGACTCTCACTACGAAACGCACCTGCTGTGATGTCCAGTTGAGCTACTGGAGGTCCTCCGGCTGCTTCTGGAAACTGATGCTGGCATAGGGGCTCACATCCTCGCTGGAGCGGCTGGTGGAGGTGCTCTGGCTGCTGCCCAGAGGCTGATGAGGAGTTGGGGGTGGGGGAGGCTGCGCTTGAGGGGGGTGCTCCTGAGGGCGCTGCTTGAAGTCTTTGACCAAATCCAGGTCTATGTAGTTGAGACCATTCTCCAAACCCCCAGCAGCCCCACAGACTTGAGCCAGCTCCTTGGGGGCTCCTCCGAGCTCCCCAGGCCTCAGCCAGACATTCTCAAATGAAGCAGAGCTGTGACGTTTCACATCCTCAGTGCTGCTGCTGCCACCGCTGCTGCCCCCTACTGCAGCCCCCCCTGCCACGGGCACCGTGTTGCCTGCCTGGGGGGTACTAGGCGTGGAGGAAAAGGTCTCGGAGCTATGCCGCCTCCGGCACCCTTGGGGGTCCGCACGGATCACTTTGGCACTCTGGTTGCCTTTGGGACTGAGGTTCACCCGGGTGAAGGCACTCATGCCCCCGGGCCCCTGTGGGGCCTCCAGCAGGGAAGAGCGGGCCACCAGCTCCCCTGCTCCTTGAGGGGTGGTGGGGGAAGCAGAGGCTGCTGAGGATGAGGAGGGAGCAGACCCTGTGGCCCCAGGAAGGCTCGCCTCCTCCACAATGCCTGTCCGAATGTCAGCATAGCTGACGGGGGCCACTGGGGAGGTGTCCACGTAGCTCTGATGGGGACAACCCAACTGCATGGTCATGTAGTCACCCCGAGTGCCAGGCACTGCCCGGGTAGGCCTGCACACACTGGCAGTCCCCGGAGGTGCGGGGCCCACTCTGCTGGGCTTGACCCCAGGATTCTCCTGCCAGGTGGCCCTCCGGCCGGGCCCTAAGTCCATATTCATGTACTCTTCAGTGCCAGACTCTTTCTCCCTGGGAGCTGGCTGGAGCTGGGATGGACACCTGATAGAAGGTGAGCTGTGGGATGCCATGGGACCGGATAAGTAGCCAGGCTGCTCACTCCCAAATTCGATATTCACATATTCCCCTGGGCTCTTGGGCTCCGGAGGGTGCAGCAGGGCAGGCTGCTGCTGCTCCCGAGCCCGAGGTAGGGTGCTGGCCTTGGGATCCCCCAGCGACAGCCTTGTGGGCCGAGCCAGGCGGCTGTTGGTCTGCGCAGCTGTGTCCACCTTTCTAGGCAGATGGTGCTGCAGGACCTGGTGGTGGAGATGATGTGGGAGGCCCGGCTCCGGCCTCACCCCACAGTATCCTCCGCCCAGGCTGTCGCTGCTGGTGGAGGAAGAGGAATCTTCGGCTGTTGCAGCATAGAGAAGGCGACCAGAGCTGGAGGAAAGACGGAGGTGCTGGTGCCGGGCGGTCTCCTCCAGGTCCCCCGGGCGCTGGGTGTGCTTAAAGGACCTTGGCAATGAGTAGTAGGAGAGAACTGGCTTGTGCTGGGGGTCCTCAGGGCCGTAGTAGCAGTCAGAGGGGCTGCTGGTGTTGGAGTCTCCCACTGGCGACATGTTCATGTAGTCACCTGTACAGGACAAGAGCTTGCTGCCACTGCTCTCCAGGGGCAGTTTGGGGTGTGGCACGACGTGAGAATGGTGACCCCCAACCCCATTTGTCCACAGCTTCCCATAGCTACTGCCAGTAGGGGCAGCACTGTTGCTGCTGCTGGGCCCACCCCCAGTGTCAGGAGAACAGCTGCCACTTGGGGACATCATCATGTAGCCATTGGGGTCCACTCTCTGGGAATGGCGTCTGATGGGGTTGATGATCTGCTGCGGGGCAGACACACTCTTGGGGCTCATTGGCATGTAGTCCCCACTGCCTTTGCGGCTGCCAGGCACTGGGGCCACCCCTGGGGACATGGGCATGTAGCCATCATCGGTGTGGAGGGTGGAGGTGTCCGGCCGGCTACGGCCTCCACGCCGCTCCAAGGGGTGCATTTCCAGACCCTCTTCAGGGTAAGACTGGGTGGGCACGAAGGCTGAGTGCCGGTAGCCGGGCAGCCGGCCTCCACTGCCCCCTCCTGGTGGGTAGGCAGGCATCATCTCTGTATACTCCTCGATGGAAGCCACGGAGGACTGGGATGGGGTCTTCTGGTGGGAAATGGTGGGGGATGTGCCAGCAGAGTGAGTCCGCTTTCGAAATCGATTATCCAGATCGGCAGGACTAGCTGCCTCCTCCCCAGCCAGGGCTGGGCTCGTGCCCAAGCCAGTGCCTGGGAGGGTGCGGTGACCATTGCCGCCCCGAGGCAAAATGTAGTGACCATTGGGGGCGATGAGAGTGGAGACCCCCTTGCCTCCCATGCAGATGTAGTTGCTCAACTCCTCCTCTCCGCGGGCCGGTGGGGTGTGGCCCAGGGAATCCGGGGTGACACTGCGGAAGGAACTTCGGAAATCACAGGGACTGGAGCCATACTCATCGGAAGAGATGAAACCACCATCACTGGGGGAACCGGACACAGAAGCACTAGATCTCCGCGGGAAGAGACAGTCAGAGGTGGAGCCGTGGCCACTGGTGCTGCTGGAAGACAGACTGACCGGGCTGGTGGCCGAAGGAGAGCAACGCGAAGAAGGCATGGGGATGGATCGGCTGTGGTTGAGCGGGGGGTGCAGCCGGGAGCTGCCCCGATGCCGGTGGGCGTGGGTCCTGTTGGTGCTAGGACTCACAGGGCTGCCGTCCACCGACGCTGGGCGGGACATGGTGCCTTCACCGTCACTAGAGGCACGGACACGGAAGGAGCCTTGCTTCCCGCCCACCATGCTAGCTGGAGAGGTGGCAGTGATGCTCTCGGTGCGTGAGCGGCGGGTCAGCCCCACCTGGCTGGGTGGAGGGTTGTTGAGGTGGTGCCTGCGTAAGGGGACACTGATGGGGTTGGAGCAGTTGGAGGAAGACTGGCTCTTGCTGCGAGGCCGGAACTCATCGCTCATGGCCCGCATGGCCTCCAGGATCGTCTCATGCATGTTCTGGGCCACCACCGAGTCATCCACCTGCATCCAGAACTCCCCAGGTCCGGTCACCGCAGAACGGCCTACTTCGATGAAGAAGAAGTTCTCCGAGTGGCCACAGCGCCGGATGTTCATCAGCTGCAGCACCACTGCCGCTGCCTCGGAGTTCAGCTTCACGAAGCTGATGGTCTTGCTGGTCAGGCAGAGGCGGTAGATACCAATCAGGTTCTTTGTCTGACCCAGGCCCTTGGGTTTCAGGATCACCTGCCAGACCTCTTTGAACGCAGGCCCTGGGGGCATGTCCCCGTAGCTCAAGTCCTCCCCAGCTTCGCCAAGGCCAGAGCTGCCACTGCAGCTGCCCCCTCCGCCTCCAGCCCCGGGGGCCGCACCCCCGTCGTGGTGGCTCTTGGCACGGTTGTGCAGCTGCAGGAGGGCCTGGTACCAGCTGTCCTGCTCAGCCTCGCTGTCCGCTGCTATAGCAAAGTGCTCGTCCCGGGTGTAGAGGGCCACCAGGTGCTTGTTCTTGGAGTCAGCCCGCTTGTTGATGTTGAAACAGCTCTCGAGGGGGATCGAGCGTTTGGGGGCGCTCGACTTATGCCGCCACTTCTTCTCATTCTCGTAGTACTCAAGGCGCGCCGGGCCCCCAGCCTCACTGGCCGCCCGCAGCACGAAGAAGCGCTTGTGCATGCTCTTGGGTTTGCGGAGGTAGCCCACCTTGCGCACGTCCGAGAAACCCTCGGTCTCCGGAGGGCTCGCCATGCTGCCACCGCCACCACCGCCGAGCAGAGGGAGGCGCCGAAAAACCACCCGGTGGGGGGGCGGAGGCTCCTCGCCGCGGCCCCGAGCATGCAAACAGGGCTGGAGGCGGCCAAAACCCCGACTCCGAAATCCACACTGCCCCTGGCGCTGAGGAAGGGCGGCCAAAGCGGGACGCAGCGGCTGTGACCAGGAGAGAGCCCCGACCAGAGTTTACAGGCGTTTCATGCCCGGGGCAGAGGCAGTGCGTCCGGCGGGAGAGCAGCCCGGATCCTCCCAGAGCCAAGTCTCCGGGAAGGAGCGTAAATGCATCTCTCACGGCCCGAGCTGGAGTCCCGAGCAGGCGGAGGACGGCGCCCCAGGTTGCCCCTCTAGGCGCGCGCGCCTTCCCTTCTGAGTTCCCCTCTGGAAGTAGCGATTCCCGAGGCAAATTAAATATCCTTGGGCAGGGGGAGGCGAGCTGCCAAGTCTCAACGTTGCACGGGGTTCTCCCTCCTCCTTCTCCTTCGCCTCCTCCTCCGCCTCCTCCCACCCCCCAACCGTCCCCGCCGCCACCAGCCGCCCAAATACCAGCTCAATTGCAGAGACCGCGGCGCTGCGGCTGTTGCTGCTGCTGCCGCCGCCCGCGGACGCGTCCTCTGCAGCCCCCATTCGGGCCCATCTCGGCAGGCGGAGAAAGTGGCTTTTCCACGCGAAACGCTACTTGGCACCCGGGAGAGCTGGGGACGCGCCAGAGGGACAGGCACATCCCTGCCCCTCGCTCCAGTCGGCAGGGGAGGAGGGGAGGTGACGAGGGAGGGAGGCGAGGGGGTAGATTTGGGAAGGAGTCGGGGAAGACGCCTCTTCCCCGGGAGGCGCAGCCTCTGCAGTTACTTCTCCCCTCCTCCCTCCTCCTCCTCGGAGAGTTGCCGAGAGCCCCAACCAAAACAAGCGGCGGCGTCTGGCTCCGCGCGCCGGCCCCTCCGACTGCGCCGCTGTCTCACTCGGAGGAGAAAAACACGTGACGGAGCCTCTGCGCTCCGCAGCCCGGCCGCCGCCGCCGCCGGGAGGCTCCCGCCCGGGTCTCTACATTCCCGGCCGAGCCCGCCCCGCGCCCGCCCCTCTCCGCCCCTCGGCAGTGCCGCAGCGGCGCCCGCGCCCGACCTCCGCGCAGCGCTCGGCCAGCGCCCCTGTGCGGCCGCCCGCCCGGGCTCAGAACCTTCCTCCCCGCGCGCCACCCAGGGCGCCCCCGGCCCGCAGGAATCCCCGCCGCGGGCGCGGGCGGGGGTGTTTGGGTGGCTACCCGAAAGCACGAAGGGAGTCTGGGAAAAAGGCAGGGGGTGGGGGCGAGTTCGGGAAGACGCAGGAGTGAGGGTGGGGGGCGACGGGGGTGCACTGCGGCTACAGAGCCCGGAGTGGGAGGGCCCGGGGAGAAAGGGGCGCGGGAGCTGGGCTGCATCTTACCTAACAGGTAAGATCGACCCCTCGGGAGGGAGGTTTCTCGTCAGGGCTTTCTCTCCCAGGGAGTATAAAAACTGCATTTCCGTTTCGGGGGGATAGGCCGTGGTGAGAGATCTGGATTTTTATACGGTTTCCTAAGGAACTTGTGGGCCAGCCTGCTTCTCGGAATCACTGCATTTGCTGCAGGGAGGTATCTCGAAGGAGCCGAGGGACACCCAAGGGCACAGATTCGGGGATTCTGATCACTCCAAAAACGGGAAGAGGGATCCCCGGGAAGCACCCTATGCCCGGCGCTGGGAGCTTAGCCGCTCATCAATTAGGGAGAAAATGTAAATATCGCGGCTTCTTCTCCATCCTAGCGAGGGGCGGGGATTCACACTTAGAGGTGACGGCAAGGGGAGAAGATGAGACGTCCCTTATCGTATTCTGAAATCTATTTGCGATTTTAAAAATATGTTAGGGACCTACAGAGGCCCACTATGTAAACACTGGCTGAAGTGTTTGCTTCACACACAGCTTCCACGCCCATTGAACTACCCCATGAAATGTTTACCCTTGCCTACAAGAATAATCGAGAGGAAACAAGGATGGTGCCCGCTCCACTGTACAGAACCTGGGTACTTCGCGAGAAGAGGTCAGCAGCCGGTCTACTTCGAGAGACTCTTACACAGTTAACCTTGCGGTTATCAGTCGCCACGAACAAACGCTCCCCAAAGTTTTTATTTTTTATTTTTATTTTTTAATTAAGCTCACCTATCAACGAGTAGTTTGTCCCCTGCTTGCCCAGCTGGCATTAAGGACCCTACAGAGATGACGTTTGTCACTGGGTTTAATGCTGTATTTTCCCACCCCATTCCCGGCTCGTTCGGGGTTTTCCTCTCTGTTCGAGAGACCGCGGTCCCGCCCGCTCTCAGGCACTGCGGGATGCTGGCGGGGAAGACGCCGCAGTCCAGGCGCTGGGCACGCTCCATGGCCGGCGGGGCTGGGCCGCAGAGGAGCGCGCCGGGGCCTAATGCGGGGTGAGGGGCGGGCGAGTTTCTTGGGGAAGCCTGCTGATTGGTGGGGCTCCCTGTCTTTCAAGCCTTGCTTGGCAGGAGGGGAGGTAGGGAGAAATGGTAGGGGTACCAAGGTAGGTTGCAAAGCGTAGAAAAAAAATAAAAATTAAAAAGAACCGTAGGCGCCATTCAGCATCCTGTGAAACGTGAATTCCGGGGACTCGGCATCTGCAGAGGGGCGCTCCCCAACCGAAGCCCGTCTCATTTCTCCTTTCACCTTTTTGTTCCTGCCATCATGCAGCCTCGTCTAAACCTGGTTAATCTATAATTTGTGTACACACTGTTGAATTGAAAGAACGCCCTCTCTCCTTCTGACAGCTTGGTGATGTGGGCACACGCTCCCACTACAGCAGAGCTATAAATAGCATATATTTGGAACTGGTAACTAGGCGGCAATAACAGTGACCGAGATTCTGGGGGTATAGCGTGCTTTGTGCGAAGCAAGGGGAGGGGTGGGTGGAGTAGGGAAACGAAGTTCGTAGTAAAGTGTAACTGAGGTTTCAGCCTTGGCAAGAAAAAAATGATAAAAGGTGGCTTACTGGTAACAATGTAATCTAAGGCCAAAGGGCCTTTTACACTTTTACGTTTAGCACAGCAGGGTGGGGGTTATTTCATATTTTATAGGAAAACGATCTAAATCCCTAGACTTGTAGTTTTCAAATGATCTACCTCACCTCCAGCCCCCCCCCCCCCCAAAGAAAAGCAAAAGAAAAGGAACATACCTCTATGGAAAACAAAACCTTGAACTCTTTCCCAAAAGGACAGGGCAGGAAGATCCATTTAATTTTCAAATATTCTACAATAACCTTCACAGAAAGGTTAGGAGACATATTATTATAAAAGCTTTTTAAAAAATATCTCGGCAGGAAAGGAATTCTGCTTTAGAAACTCAACTTCAGTGGCTAATGAATGGGCTAGAAATCATGAAATAAGCCAAATTGCTGACGATTTGTATTCAGAGGAGTGGTTTCATGTGGAAGATAATCGCTCATAAGGTACTAGGTATTATCATTTCTTCCTACTTGCTGGTGTTTTACTACCAATGTGAAAGATGGTTAATATTTATTATAACTATACTGTGGAAGGTTCATTTGTGCTCTACATATTTTTTATTAATAGGTTGAGATCACAGGAAGTGCACATTTTGTGCACATAATATACAGAATACAAAGAGATGCTTTTGTAGAATCTAAGTGAAGTAATTTAAGCAGGTACAAGTATTATCCTGTCACCTTACGCTAAATTAGTCTTGTGGTGTACTGTAATGATATACACTGTATGAAAATTTTACTCCTAAATGGAAATTCGCAGAAACCAAAGAGCCACCTAGCACGAAATATATTGCTCAATGCTGCCATCTATAGGGCAATTAGAGATGATTTGTATAATAAACTACAACAGATTTTTAAACTCAAGGAGAGCTGAATAAAGGTTCATCGAAACACTGGGAAAGCTATGCTGGTATTCACAAATGCAGTTATGGTTCCAGGAGTTAAAACTTTACATGTGTGGGAAGAACTATTGAGCAGCATCTCTGCAATTAACTTTAAATTGGAAATATTGGCCTGTGTGATGCTATCAGGGACATCATACAGACTTCATAAATTATTACATGTATCCCCAAAGTGACCTCTAGTTATAAACTCTTAAAAATTAAACATTTTGTATATGGTCAACATGGAGAAGTATAAACTACTGTCCTAGCAGAAATAAGAATTGAGTTGGCTAAAGAAATCACCAACCATTTGAAAATTAAAAAGTATTTCATATTTCAAAACAGATGTTTTACTTAAGATAAATAGGTCACAGCTGGAGGAGCTGTTTAAATATTGTTATCTCTTGAATTAATTTTGGCATTTAGAATGATGCTTGAAGGAAAATCAAAGCTTGTATATTTTCTCATTTTAATGTCTATTTTTATTTTAAGATAGTTCAAGCATAACAAATATTTGAATGACTATTCTGCGAGGCAGTATGAAATACATAAAAGGAGATACCTTTTTACAGCTTGGATGGGGTAAAAAGAAAGATACAAAATAAAGATCATTGATAACTAAAGTCGTGTGTGTGTGTGTGTGTGTGTGTGTGTGTGTGTGTGTGTTGAATGAAATAACTGAAGAAATCTTTATGGAAGAGAGGAGACGTAAGCTTGAACTTGAAGGGTGGATAGAACTCAGATAAGCGATTGGCTGTTTATTTGTTTATTTGTTGCCATTCCAACGTTTTGGAGCACCTTCCTATGTTAGGCCTTGACTAGACACTGAGGATTTAGCTAAGACATGATCCTGCCCTCAGGAAGCTTTCAGTGAAGATCAAGATAAATTAATACAATTGCCAAGTGCTGTGATCTCTTTGATGAAGAGGTAGGCACAGGGTAAATGGGATCCCAAAGCAATCAACTGCCTTCTGATTTAAAGTCATCAATCACAAACAGTACAATCTAGGAGCCCACAGATGCCTTTCCCTTTAATAACCTGGTTTTCTCTTATAATTAAAATTTCTCAAATTGGATTTAAAATGTGAAATAGGGAAATTAAAAGTGAGCTGAAAGGTCACATTGGGCTTGAAAATCTGCTAGATCAATGCTTCTTAAACCCGAGGGTCTTGTTACCATTGAGGTTCTGATTCTGAAGGTCTAGGGCAGGCAGAGCGTCTGTATTGTCAACACACACCAGGTGATGCTGATTCTGCTGGGCGGGGGTGGGCACCACCCTTT